AAAAAAATTTCCCATTGACTTTGGAAAAAAAACCACATTTTTTAAAAAAAAAAAAAATTTTTTTTTTTTTTATAGGTTAGGAATCTATTCATTATATATTTAAGTTTAAAATGTAAAAACTGAGCTTATTTTAATATTTCTGTCCTTCAAATATTTTTTTTTGTTGTAACCATATGCATTATATTTTATATAACTGTTTCTGTTAGAAAAATTGACTGTATTGTCAGCTTATGTTATTTTCATTGGTTCACGTTGATGAACCTAAAATCATACATACCTTTTTTTTTTTACTGCCTTGCAAGCACTGAAGGAAATGCTAATCTAGTACTTAAATATTTCATTACAGCTATTTGAAATATTTTGCCTGTTTTTTTTTTTTTACCTTTAAAAAGTTCTCAGGTCTGTTTCATTAACTCTAGCGACTGGGGTTGTTTTGCAAAATGTTCGTATCCCGATTGAGCCTTTTCAGTCAAACCAGCTCTCACAGCTGACGTTTTGTCCCTCACAGATGTATAAAAAGGATCTGTACAGCGTGGATGAGGCGGTGCGAGTGAACCACGGCGTGAAGCCTCCCCCTCCCCAGCAGCAGCCTTTAGGCCCCCCCACCTCGCTCTCCTACAGCCACCAGCCTGTCTACCAGGACCAACAGCCATACCGCCAGTACGAGCACCCGCCTTATGGCTACGACGGTGGCGGCTATGCACAACCAAAGCCTCACAATTACGACCCGCACCTGCACTACGACAGCCGTGTGCCTCACTACAACGAGCAGTGGCCCCCTTACGACCAGCAGCAGACTTCACCCCAACCGCCGCCCACGTCCGGCTACGCTCAGGCCCACAAGCCGCCTCCTCCTCCACTGGGGTACAGACCCCGCTCTCCATACGAGGACTGTCCAACCAGGGATTTCAGCCCCCCTCAGTCCCAATATGATGGTGTGTCCCCAATGAGCTACGATAACCGGCCGCAGCACGCCAAACACGCCCCTGCTCGCTACGAAGAGCCGCCTCCTCCAGTCTCCTACGACGCCCGCTCACCCTTCGTGTCTGATCCGCATGGATTCCCAGGCAATGCGCATCGCTCCCCTGATCCGCCCAAGCAGTATTACGGCGACGCTGCAATGAGACCCTCGTACAACCCTGGAGTGCCGAACCGAGCGTATAAAGCAGCACCGCACGAGCCCGTGATGAACTCTGAACCTCCCGCTCCGCCCCCCAAACCCGAGGCCGTCTTGTCTTCAGGAGATCCGCCTCACCCTGCAGCTCCCAAACCATTGCCGCCTCCCCCCAGGGATGATGACGACGATGAAGACCCTGCCATGAAGCCCCAGTCTGTGCTCAACCGGGTCAAAATGTTCGAGAACAAGCGCTCCGTGTCTGTTGACCGAGCCAAGGATATGCCGGAAGTAACAGGAATTAGGGTACGTTTCTGTCCCTTTGATGTATGTGACCTTGGACCACAAAACCAGTCATAAGGGTCAATTTTTGGAAATTGAGATTTATACATCATCCGAAAGCTGAATAAATAAGCTTTCCATTGATGTATGTTTGTTAGGACAGGACAATAATTTGGCCGAGATATAATCTGGATCTGAGGGTGCAAAAAAAATCTACATATTGAGAAAATCGCCTTTGAAGTTGTTCAAATGAAGTTCTTAGCAATGCATATTACTAATCAAAAATTTAAGTTTTGATATATTTATGGTAGGAAATTTACAAAATATCTTCATGGAACATGATCTTTACTTAATATCCTAATGATTTTTGGCATAAAAGAAACATTTTTCATTTTCATCCAATACAATGTAATGTTGGCTAATGCTGCAAGTATACCCGTGCGACTTATGACTGGTTTTGTGGTCCAGGGTCACATTTAACCTAGAGTTTTCCATTGAGGGCTTTGTTGGTAATAATTTAAACATGACTTAATATTGCAGTGTCAACTTTTGCACGGACAAGAAGGGTATGTAAATGTGTGTTGTTGACAGAATGGATGCACTTTCTTCTTCAGCCCACAGATCTCCCAAAACCTGTGAGCACACCTGGTCCTGTGCTTAAAGCCAACTCTCTCAGCAACCTGGAGCAGGAGAAACACTCTTACAGGTACAACCACATACTTACTGTACCGTTCAAAAGTTTGGGCTCTGTGAGATTGTTTAAAATGTTTTACATGAAAGTGTCTTATGCTCACCAAGGCTGCATTTATTTGTTCAAAAATTGTACAGTAAAAATTGTAAAATTGTCAAATATTATTGAAATTTAAAACAACAGTTTTCAATTTAATATATTTTAAAATATAATTTATTCCTGTGATCAAAGCTGAATTTTCAGCATCATTACGCCAGTCTTCAGTGTCACGTGATCCTTCAGAAATCATTATGCTGATCTGCTGCTCAAGAAACATTTCTGATGATCAATTTTGAAACAGGGTTATTACAGTTAACTAAGACTAAACCATGAAACATTTTCATTGCTAATAAAATAAAATGTTAACTGAAATAAAATGTAAAAAAAAATTCAGTTAGTTTAACTTGATGTACTAAAATAACTAGAACTTAAAAATGAATGAAAACATTAAAAACAATAAACACGTCTAGACATTTAAGAACAAAACCTGCCAAAAAATGACAAACTAACTTACTAAAGCTTTAAAATGAAAAAAAATCTAATTCTAGAGTAAAACGACACTTTGTTGAAAGCAGTTCTGCTGTGTAAACTTTTTTGACAATTCTTTGATGGATGGAAGGTTGAAAAGAACAACATCTATTTAAAAACGTTATTTGTCATTATTAATGTCTTGTCACTTTTGATCATTTAATATGTAACCTTGCTGAATAAAACAATTAATTTCTTTAAATAAAATCTTACCAGCCCCAAACCTTTGTGCAGTAGTAGTATGTATGTTCACCTACAAACGTCAACAGAGCCTTTATTTATAGTAAAAGGATCTGAATTGACTGGAGAAGTCATGGGAATTCATTAGCCAGAGAGCCTGTGAACTGTGGAGTAAACCAGAAATATTATCAACTATTTGAATGGATTGTCTTAAGTTACCACATTCTTTTATTCTATTGTTTACATGATTTAGTTTGACACTATTTTTAAGTAGTAGTGGTTAGTGGAGAATGCTAATGTAATCCTGTAGTGCCCTCTGCTGGTTGATCTTCCATTCTGGAAAATACTGTTAGATGTTACATAATAGTTAAGATCTTTCCTTTTGATGATTTATTTTTTCTGCTCCTAGAGCCCCAGAGCCCCAGAAACCTCATCCGTGTGTAGGGGACGAGGTGGTCCGCTCCAACCACCATGACCCAGATGAAGATGAAGAGTATTACAGGAAGCAGCTGTCATATTTTGACCGCCGCAGCTTTGACAACAAGGCCATGAATCAGCCCAACACTGGAATCAATCGCTTTCACGAGTCGCCCAAACCTCCTCAGCCCCAGGTCGCATATCCTTTCGCCAGGTACCATCTAACACGCTAGACAGACAGTGTTAACTCTTGTATGTTGATGGCGCTCTTGTATATATCGTACACACTCTCTGTTTCAGGACGGAGTCTGTGGAGAAGGTGAGTCCTGTGGACAAGAGGTATGACACCCTGCCGCCTGCCAACCCGTCACCTGCTCCATACAGCCAGCCCACGCCTGCTGCTCCACCCACATCCCTGCCCAAACTCAGCAACATCGACGGTAAGAATGAGTCTTGAGTGTCCATGGCACTTTTGGCTTTGTGGACTTTCAGAAAATGTGTATTTTTGTACACTCTTACTAGTTTAATTTGTCTGATAATAATGTCCAACAGTGTTTAAAAAAGCATCACAGGAGACGTCTTGTCTTTTTTTCTTACAGTTATGAATATTTCCACCAGTATCTTTTTCATTACATCTCAAATTTCCTATTGTGTTTGATAGCTTTCTGTTTTGGAAATTGCAACATTTTTGGAATACAATGCCTGATTTCATAGCTAGCATTTTATTTATCCTAAATACACACAAATAATATTTTCACACTTATTGCATACGTTTACAAAATTGCAGAATGACTGCAAATTCTGCATTGTAAAATACTATTGTCTGTTTGCGAAAACATTACACAAACTTAAGAAGCATTGACAATTAATTACTGGAAAATGTTTGTTTTTTTTAAATTGCAGATTATTTTTTACACGGTAAATAAATTACATTAAACATTTTTGGAATAAAATGCCTGCCACCTTTGTATCCTAAATACACACAAATAATATTTCTACACTAGCTGGATAATTTTACAAAATTAAAAAAAGCATTTTTTTTATTTTGTATTTTTTGGAATAAAATGCCCAACTCCTTTGTCTATTTAAGGTTAATTATAGCTAGCATTTTATGTATCCTAAATACACACAAATATCATTTTCACACATAATTGTGCAGAATGACTTAAAATAATGCACTATAAAATGCTATAGTCTGTTTGGGAAATATGTTACTGAAAAATTATAGATTAATTTTACAACCTAAATAATGAAACTAAATATTTTTAGAATAAAATGTCCAACTGAATACACTCAATCAATATTTTCACACTTATTGCATCATTTAAAAAAAATTACAGAATGTCTGAAAATAATACGCAATAAAGTACTTTTTTTCTGTATAGTAATCAAGTACATAAACTTTAATCTATTAATTATTAAAAGCTACTTTAAAAAGTAAGATTAATTTCACACCATAATTCAATAATTTATTACAAAAAAAGTGAAGTAAACAATGAAAATAATCATTCCTATGTAGTTCCTAAATAGTAATTATTCCTATGGGGTTTGGAGTTTTTGAATCTAGATCAAATTATAAAATATATACTAAGAAAACGTTTAAAAACTAGCAAATGAAAACGTGTTGAAGTTTAAATGTGACTTTTCTATGAGAAATAAAAAGAAATAGATTTATATAAATATATATATATATTTATAATATTTATATATAATATATCATATAAATATAATAATATTTATATCTGAAGTTGAAGAAGCACGCCCTTGCATAGTGTATGGCCATATTGTCAGTGTTCTTATATTGCCAACATTTCAGAAATCAATGCTAATACCAATGAGATTGCATCATATTTTACTCCACAACAAAAACTGGATGCATTCTCTCTATTCTCCCAGTAAACTCGCTGCCAGATCCTCACAGCTCTCCCAAAGCCAAACCGGACCTGCCGGCTCTCAGAGCTCCCGCCCGGGACGACCCCATCCAGACCAGCTACCTGCCCCCCAAGTCTTCTATCAACGGCACGGACGCCCCTCCCAAAACGCTAGGTGTCCCTACCAGCTACAACCGCTACGTCCCCAAGCCTTACACCAGCTCCGCCCGACCCTTCGAGCGCAAGTTCGAGAGCCCCAAATTCAACCACAACCTGCTTCCCAACGACACGCAGTCCAAACCCAGTGTGAACAACAACCTGAAACCTCAAATCTCGGCCCAGCCCCTGGACACCGACAGCGGGGTCGACACTTTCACACGCACCATGGACAACAGGCCCAAGAATCAGCACAACAACATAAACGCCCTTCCCAAGTCCATTCCTGTCAGGTAAGATGATGAAAGAACATCAGCCAGAGCTGGATTTATTCCTTCTGTTTACTAAACGACTCACTCAGTACGTTTACATGGACAACAATATTCCGATTTTAACACGATTAAGACAATACTCTGATTAAGAATCTACCATGTAAACAGATTTTTGATTACCGTGGGGTCATTGCACACTGAGTCCAAAGTTTTCGCACATTAAAAAAATAAATACGACCTCATGTCGTGTCAATCACATTTACACACTGCCTCTGAAACTTTCATCCATCAATAAAAAAATTTGAATCAGGTTCGATTTTTTTGCGTTTTCGCATCCGTAGCAAGCATTTTGATAGGAAAGGATGACGAATACGAAAAATCGCATATGAATATTTCGGACTCAGTGTGCAAAGACCTTAAATCCAGCTAAAGTCATGCTTGAAGTAAACAGAAATCGAATTAAGACATGTGGAGTACTCCTATTTTAGTCGCATTTTCGAAGTGCAGTATAGACATGTACACACCGTAATCACACTATTATCGTCGTGTAGGACACACACACGGCTGCGGTCAACCGTTTGACGTCAAATAAAAGAGTATCGCTTCAACAACCCCGTCAACTGTTTGCACGGTTAGCATGACAAATAATTAACTGCACTTAAAATTAAAAATGAAACAACGAAACATCATAACGAAAACGAACTATATGTTTATATGTGAAATTCTGGAGGGGATGTCGGATGGCGTTACGTTGGGACGTAATGACGTGTGCCATTAATCGATTTATGTACTATAACATGTAAAACAGGAACATGAAAGGAATATTCTAAAAGCAACTCATGTAAACACCTTAATCATAATATTGTCTTATTTAGAATAAGGTAAATAATTAGATTACTGATGACCATGTGTCTGTTTTCTAGCCCTAATGCACTGGATGATGATGTGGAAGACGAAGGTCACACTGTGGTCGCCACTGCGCGGGGCATCTTTAATTGTAACGGTGGGGTGTTGAGTTCCATAGAGACAGGAGTCAGTATTATCATCCCGCAAGGAGCGATTCCAGATAGCGTGGAGCAGGAGATCTACTTCAAAGTGTGCCGGGACAACAGCATTCTGCCCCCTCTGGACAAAGAGAAAGGTCTGAATCCCGTCTACTTTTGTTTGTTTTATTTTCATTTTTGTTTCAGTATATTTTTTGTTTGTTTGTTTTTCCTTTTTAGACTTTTGTTAGCTTTGAAGCTAATTTATGTTTGAACAAAACTACCTTAGTTAAAAGTTGCAAGACTGAACAAAAATGAAGAAAAGCATTGTCTGGTAACAGTAAGTTTGGTTTAAGGGCTGTTCACATTAAGTTCAGTGCACTGCAGAAAAGAAATACACAAAAGCTGAATTTTTGTCATGCTCTAGTGGGAAAAAACAAGTTTAGATGCATGAATTAATTGTTCAGCATAAAAACTATAAAAAAAACAGACCTGTTTACATAAAATCCAGTGCCGCTAAACAAAGTATTAAATATTAACAAATGTTTTGCTACACTGAACCTGATTTCTTAATTTTATGTTTTATGAACATTTTTGTTTATGTTTGGGGTCAGTAAGTGTATTTTTTTTAATTGGTACTTTTATTCACCAAGGATGCATTAAATTGATAAAAGAGACAGTAAAGCAATTTATAATGTTACCAAAAAAAATAAATAAATATATATATTAGGGCTGTCATCGTTAACGCGTTAACGCATGCGATTAATTTTACAATCGTTAACGCGTTAAAATAATTAAATGCAATTAACGCAAAATTACTGAAGCACAATTTCTATTCTAACCCTTTAACCCAATTTTGCTTCTCTGCTTGCGATCAGATCATTTTAAGCTGCTAAACTCCGGGAAAGTTTTCAGTCCAATGATCCAGTAAGAGAATGTATTCAAACAATCCGTCCAAAACAGCGCTAATATAAAGGAAACCAGGCTGATTACATCAGAGATTGCAGAGAGAACAGAGACTCGCGTTGCGTTGTGTTTCGCTTTTAAACACGATCTCTGTCATATTCTGTGATTGTCTCTGAAGAGCGCGAGCCCTCGTACGTCACGCGCACTGTGTGAAGTACAGACTGAACGGGTTGTCAACACATCCCACCGCTGTATGGCCAGATGAGACGCAAACTACGTTTTCTCGACTGGATAACCGTCTCGCTAGTAAAGTTTTGATGGATGAAGACTGCAATCAAGGTAAAGACGATTGCGGTGGCATACAGAAGTCGTACAGTAAGCACGCGTGAGTCCGTTATAATAATGCGTGTATGAGTGCACTTGACGCACTGATCACACATTGTATTTATGCACAGGCACAGACATTTCTGTACATTCACGTTGTTTCCACACACATTCACGATAATGTTTTGATTTGTCATGTTTATGTTGCTGTGTTTAGTTATTCTGAATGGATCCGTGTACTGTAGTAGATATATGCAGTCAGCAGTCGGTTGGTTTAGGTTTTTTTTGGCATCTCCATGTGGTCCTGTTCGGTATCGCAACTTGGCTTCTCTAAAATGTAAAAAAGCTCTTTGGTGTTGCACTGTACACATACTATAAAATTCAGATTTATTTTTCTTTCATATGTGCATTTATGGGCTCCTTATATCATTTGGTTCTTTGGTGTCATTTTGGAGTTTCTAAGTGTCCTTTTTTGGAAAGACATCTAAATTTATCTTGAAAAAAGGTTGCAGAAAATATAGGTTTTTGAGAATCACCCTTCAATCTTTTGGTTTACTTTGCTGGATATAGCAAATGATGACAAAATAAACATTTGAAACAAGATAAATGGTCTATGCTTAATTTCATGAAGTGTGCAATTAATCGTGATTAATCACAGAAAAAGGATGCGATTAATTAGATAAAAAATTGTAATCGATTGACAGCCCTAAAATATATATATATATTAGATTTATACTGTATATATTAGATGATTTATATATGTATATTAGATTTTAAATAAATGCTGTTCTATTTATGACTTTTATGATTTATGCTAAGCTTTCTATTTATGAAAGAATCCTGAAAATATATGTATCAGTTTCCACAAAAATATGGATTGTAATAATAATAAATGTTCTTCTTTATAGTATTTTTTGACCCCCAAACTTTTGAATGGTGGTATAGTTGTTGAATTAATGACACACTGTTGCTCCTGAAGCTTATTGTAGCCTGTCTGCTCTTCCAGGTGAAACTCTGCTCAGTCCTCTGGTGATGTGCGGCCCTCACGGTCTGAAGTTCCTGAAGCCCGTGGAACTGCGTCTACCACACTGTGCATCTATGACCCCTGATGGTTGGTCTTTTGCTCTAAAATCCTCCGACTCCTCGTCGGGTACGCTGTCCTTTCTCTCTGTCCTATGATGGGTCTTTTGGGATCGGTATTGAAGCTGTTTGGAAACCGCTATCCACCTTGTGATTTTCTTTCATTTTCTGGTTCCCTGAATTAACATTTCACGCTCAGTTATCCTGATCACTTTCACGGTGTGATCTGTGCGCTTGCTTTGCTTCATCGATGTATCACCAGTCTGAATCGCAGATGCACTCAATGTCTCTTTAGCTCTTATTCATTCACAATTAACCCATGTAATTTTGTAAAATGTGACTGGAACTGACACACATCATTGGGCTCAGTATGGCCACGTTTGAGGAAGACAATCAGGAGCGAGTCCATCTAAATTAGCATTGGCTTTGTGTATAAATACAGGAGTCACTCCTGATCTTGTGATGGTTATCACGATGGTAATATGGCTGTAGATAAGAAATGTGGATGCCAACAAATGAACCCATTTGGCATTGGCAATTTTTTCTGCATTTTTGCAGATGGGTTTTGACACCCATTTATAACCAATCTCTGTGTGAACAGAACTGGATTAAGTGTTCAAAAGAGGAGTGACTGTTAATTTTAGCCGCAGTGTGAAAATGGCATGTCTAAATGGAGTAATTGGGTTACTCTGGGAAAATTTTGGATTTAAAACCACATTTAATTTCATTTCCAGGACTGAATCTGCTAAATTATTGTGTACGAATACAGGAGTCACTCCTAATTTCGGCATGGTGGTAATGTGGTGCCTTCTGGCTGTAAACAAGAAAGGTGGATGCCAGCAAATCTTGGTTTCGCGTTTGTAACCTTGTTTTTCAAAAATGAATTTGGTTTTCACACCCGTAACTAGGGATGGGTACCGAAACCCGGTATTTAATCGGTCCTGGGGCTAAATTATGAAAGACCGGAGTATCGATAAGCTCTGACGTTAACGGTTCTGCTATCGGTACTGGAGAAATTAATAAAACACACATACATTTATTATTTGCTATATATACACATTATCTTGCCAATTCTATCTCACCAGAGTCGCCAGCTGTTTTTCAAACATTTGTCTATGATGCATTTTTGCTATTCGCAATTCAGAAGCGAGATCGCACCCACGCGGAGGAGCTTCAGCACGCGCAACATGAAAGCCCTGTTTAATTATGATAGAAGAGAGAACTAAACATTCAAACATCTGCTTACACTTTAGGCCTGTGGCTGTTTTATTAAGCTAATTTTATTATTTTATTTCGATTTTGGCTTCTAAGGATTATACAAAAGAAGACATGAGGTAAAGCTATTAAAAACTAGCTGCGTTTCGTCTTGCGCAACTTCTTTCCCTTCACAGCGGCGCGCATTCGTTCCGCCCTAAAACCCAAACTTAACGTCAGAATCAGCTCAGTCAGTGATTGTTGTAAGATGCCGTCTTTACTGTTGCTAAATTGCGGGACATGTTTGATGATAAAATGTTGAAAGCACAATCCGCACAAGAGACACTGTTCCTCAAGCTGAAATGTGTGCGTGCGGCGCGCTCCAAAACGGACAAACAAATTACACTTTGAGCTTCAGGCGCATGTCCAAACGATCAAATACACACACAAATGTCAAAATGGCCGGCTTGGAGAGTATTTACTTAAACACAGTTTATGTCTTAAGTGGAGGAGAACAAAATCCGATGTGTGTCAATATATTGTCTTAAAGTGACAGACTGGCACTTGGGCCTTCAAAATGCAAATCTGCTCTTAATCTGAATAACGTCATAGCTTTTATTTGTCAGTTTGTTTTACTTTGTTTCTTTGTTCATGTTCTTACTGCACACTGGTGCATTTACAAATTGATGTTTTATATTCACTTCATTAAATATTTATTTTACATTTCAGAATATAAAGCCATGTTAATTCAGATCTTAATTTGTCATATCTATCTATCTATCTATATATATATATATATATATATATATATAAAACAAAAAGTACCGATAAGAATACCGTTAAAGTACCGAATCGATAAGTAGTATCGGTAATACCGTTAAAACCTTAATGATACCCATCCCTACCCATAACCAAATTCTGTGTGTGAACAGAACTGGATTAAGTGCTCCAAAGGGGAGTGACAGAATTTAGCTGCAGTGTGAATAGGGCCTGTCCAAACAGAGTCATTCGGTTCAGGGAATCAAAACCATATTTAGGTTATTTGCAAAACTGAATCCCTTAAATTAGGAGTCACTCCTGATCTCATGATGGTTGACATGGTGATAATGTGGCATCTTGTGGTTCTAAATGACATGTGGTTGTAAATAATAAATTAACCTGATTGCTATTTTTGATGAAAGTCTTTCCCGGAGCAAATTAATTTGTCACTACCCGAATTAATCGAACAGTGTGTATACAGAACAGTATTAAGCAGCCAAAAATGAGTATTGAAAAAACTGAATTTAGCTGCAGTGTGAACTAAGGCTACATGATTAATCCAAATAAAACCCTAATCACACAGGCTGTGATTTTAATTAATTAAAAATATATGTGCTGCGTGTTTCAGAATGAAGCATGGCACGATGTTCTGTTACCTGTGAGCAAGACAAATTATTATTATTACTTATTTATATTTTACAGAGAATATAAAAGTTTCATTTCTCATTTTGTTTAATTATTTCTATTTAGTAATAATAATTATTATTATAATTATACTTTGGTAACAATTTACAATAAGGTCCCATTAGTTAATGCATTAACAATAATGCTTTGCTACAGTATTTATTCATTTTTGTTGAAGTTAGTTAATAAAAATATAACTGTTCATTGTTAGTTCATGTTGGATTTGATTGTAATAACATATGTAAAAGTTGAAATTATGATTTATAAATATTTTAGAAGTATTTTTTATTATTAGCTCATGTTAACTAATTCAGTGAATGGAACCTATATTATTATATATTTTATATAATGCAATTTTGGGCTAAATTGTGCAGCCCTACAAACGGCCACAGCAAACCTAATGCCTTTTTCTTTTTAATCATAATTTATCATAATTTTTAGTGTGAATAGAAAAATCTGAATTTTTAGATTATGATGTTGTCTTATAGCATATTCCTCATGATGTTCCTCCTGTTGATCTGTCCACAGGTGACCCCAAATGCTGGCAAAACAAGTGTCTACCAGGAGACCCCAATTACCTGGTGGGCGCCAACTGTGTGTCCGTGCTGATCGACCACTTCTGAAGAGCGCAACAGCTGGTCTGTTACTGAACGTCAGCGCATGGACCCTTCTCCAGCTCTTCTACTCAGGAGGAGGGATTTGCACCACTTTATGAAGTATTCATTCTTCCATCTTTTCTTTGATGGGCTGAAGCGGCGTGCCCAAAAAATCTCTTTGAGAACAGCACTGATGGCACAGTACTACAGAGCGCTCCTTTTACTATTCCCTTTGTTTTCCTTCTCTCTCCCCCCCTCCCTTTTTCTTTAGCTTTTGGTGCTTGAAGAATTGCAAAAAATTACTGAATAAATAAATTACTGAAATCGAACTGCTAATGGAATGCATGACCTGTGCCACAGACAGTCGGAAAGATTTCTCCCATTTTTGACATTTGTAGCGTCTTTTTCTCCAAATAATTAGAAGTCTTGAACGGAACCGGAAAAACAATAGATGGAAAAATGAAGTCATTTTACGTAAAACAAGTGAATCCTACCAATGTGCTCCCAAACAGAAAAGTCCATGTATGCAGAGCTTTTTTTGTTTGCGAGGTCGTGTGTTTTTCGTGGAACGCTGTAATTGATTTTCACGGATCTGGAAAGCATGTCGGTTTGTAGAGAATGAAGAACAATTGAGACTTTCTGAAGTGAAGAACTGATTATTGAAGGAATGTGACTTTTGCACTCGTCTGCTCATGGACTTCTCTCTGGCTAAAAACGAAAAAAATGGGCTCTTTTTCTGCTCTCTGGTTTTGAAGCGATTTTTTCTAGCGTCGATAAACACTGACTGTGGTTTTCCGAAACTCCTGCTGTCTAGAGATCTATGCATGTGCTATGACTCAGGTCCAAACGCCTGCTACTAAGTTGAGTACACAAACCTACCCATCATACACTGCAAGCAGTGATGCCTTATCTGCATTTTTTTGTTGTTTTGTTACTTTGACCCGAAAGACGTCGAATTTCTGTTACAGAGGGAAGGACACGAAACTCTCCCACCGTAATGAAGCGGGATATTTAGCACACAATGAAGTCTGATCAACAGGTCCGCTTTCTCACTGCTATGCATATGAAGTCAAAGAATATACAAGAACGTGTTTCAATTACAGCTGTATATATTGTGCTAGCATATGGCCTTGGTTCGCTGTAAATGACCTTTTGTACATCTTTATTTTGTATAAAAACCTAACATGGAAAAAATTTCTTAACAAAAAAAAAAAAAGGAAAACTATAACATTGGTTATGTTTGTATTCCGGTTATACTTCTGAGCTTTGGAATTTACCTTAGCACTACGGAGAAAAAAACTGAAGCGAATTTGAAAAATTACAAAATAAATGCAACGGAAAAGGACGTTATCTTTTATACCAACAGCATATATACAAAACACTACGTAATGGCATTTTTAACAGTTACAGAAACATTTTTATTATTTACAAACTAGAAAAGTGCTCCGTTTGAATAATTTAAGGACTCTGTACTTCAGAAGGGTCCGCGTTGGTGGTCGGACCCCGACTTTATTTGTGATACTGGATGCTGTATTGTGTGCCCTGAAATGTATTTTTGTACTAATAGACAGTTTATTAAGGCACATCAGTACGACTTTGTTTTGATATGACGACGCGGCTTCATCCCGGGTTTAGTTTCTTTACTTTGTGTGGCGATATTCGTTCTCTCTTTTTTTCTTTGCAGCACATTTCTAAGTATACAACTGTATTAATAAATTAATTTTTAAAGTAAAAAAACAAAATAGTTTTTAGTGCTTCACTGATGCGGTGTTGGATAATCTTGACGATTGTGAAATGGGAACGATGTCAATGACCCCGGTATTGGGTACAGAATGAAACCGGTTCAGTTGGGTTTGTGTTTTGTAGAAATGTTTATTTTTTGAGCTCAGAGGTTGATGGGACGGGAGGTCATGAATTTTGCCCTTTCACCTACTTAAACATACTGCCGCTGATTAGAGTCTCTTGACCAGCAGACACAAGAGCATTGAGAAAACCAGCGACCGGATTTCTTAAAAGCCATTGTGTCAGCAAGATGAATCAAAGCAGTGACTCTCAACTGGTTTGTGGCAAGTGGTGAATCAGAACCACAATTATTGTACTAAAGAAAAAAAATGTCATTCAAATAAATGTAAATTTGTGCGACAAATTTGCGGCAAAATACCATAGCGTTTGATTGGACACGGCCTTTGAATTTAGCTAAATACGCTGTATGGGAAGCCTTTTGTGCCTATTTTGCTACATAAATGGCAAATACATATAATAAACTGTTTATCTCTACGAACCATGAGGCAGTTGAGAATCTCTGCTTTGAGAGTTAAAGTTGTAGTATATACTATTATATAAAGTCAATTTAGTGTACCACAATCTTATTAGAGTCTATTTAACTGCAGGTTGAGATGATTATAAATTAAAATTATTAAAAGGTTAAGTAATAAGGCACACTTCATAAAGTACTAATGTAAAACAGTGGATTGTACTGCTCAAAAGGTTAAAATCATTCACCGTAATCACTTGTTTTCCCTGAGATTAGTGGGTAACTACTGGTTAGTAGATTTCAAAGTTGTACCGTTAGCTTATTCTATGGATTTTTACAGTTTAATTTCCTGCGACAGGATCGACTTGTGAATTTCCTGAGAGAGTGGAATGTATTTCTTTTGCGTCAGCTCCAGGAAGTAGAGAGGATCTCGTATTAAGGTCGGGTCAAAGCCCTCCTCCACCAGCTTCACTTTCTTCATCTTGAAAGTTCCTGTGACGTCCAAGGAATTCTGAAAAACAAATGTATTGTTGGTGAGTGTCGGAGAGAGACGGTAGAGGACAAGCAGGATTCATATATATAGAGGTAAGTTTTCATCAAACCTGAATTCGGATGAATCGAGGTCTGGCGTACACTGGAAGATAGTTCACCAAAACACTGCAAGTGTTGATGCAGTCAAACTCTCTGCCTTCTTTCAGCTTTACAGCTGCCATTCCAATCCTTCCTTCATGACCTGAAGATAAAAGATTTTAGCATGAAAATCCAATTAAAAGTATGCTTTGAATATATATATAGTATTTCAGTGGATTTTTCTGCTTCCTTAAAGAGACAGATCTCCCAAAAATTTAAATTCTGTCTTTGTTTACTCACCCTCAAGTTGTTCCAAACCTGTATGAATTTCTTTGTTAAACACAAAAGATGATATCTTGAAGAATGTTGGTAACCAAACAGTTGTTGATCTCTATTGACCTTCATAGTATTTTTTTTTACAATGGAAGTCAATGGGAACCAAACGCATTTTGGCTACCAACATTCTTCAAAATATCTTTTGTTCTCCGCAACTTGTGCAGGTTTTGAACAACCTGAGGCTGAGTAAACAATGATGGAATTTTTATTTTTGGGTGAACAATCTCTTTAATGATTCCATTAACTAAAAAACACAACAGCCAAATTATTATTATTATTTTTTTTTTTAACTTGGTTGCTTTATTTTATTTTTAAAATCTCCATATTCACAAGTAATTGACCTGATTTTAATCTCACAAGGCCTACACACTGCATGATTTTTGGTTAATTTTTAAAAAATAATTTTGTAAGTAATGGTATGTGGCTCACTTGTCAAGAACAGTTTTGAATCAGTGAGTCATATTCCAATTGCTAAAAAGATTCGAATTAGTGTTGCCAAAAGTACCAACGTTGGTACTGAAATTTCAAAAATGTGACGATACCAGCATTTCCCGCTAGCATTTTGACCGGATTCTTCACCACTGATTGGCCATTGTTTTCACACACTCAACAGATATGTATGTGATTGGCTACAATGATCAGGCTGACAGATGCGGCTTTTAAACGCTCCCGTGTGTATCTGTGTAAGCGTTCGGTGAAGAGCGTGAAGCGATGATTATTGTAGTCAATCACAGACATATCTGTTGAGTGCGTGCACACAATGGCCAATCAGAGGTGTTTAACAATCTGCTCAATAGTGCTCAAAATGCTGGTATTGTCACATTTTTTAAATTTACTATTTTGAAACACTACAATTATACAGCCTTCCCGTAGCTCAAACCGTAGAGCATGGCACTACTGTAGCAACACCAAGGTCATGAGTTCAATTCCCAAGGAAATCAAGAACATGCATGCAATTTAAGTTGCTTTGGATAAGCATCTGCCAAATGCACAAATGTATTTTTTTTTTTTAAATCAGCAGTATCGGCCTGCTTCAATATGCTATTGAATGGAATATAACAATAAATATGACATAAACCACTACATGTGGCCTTGCCAGATACCTGTAGTGCCGGAAGTGTAGATATACAGTGCTGTAGTCCTGATATGAATGTTGGACCTGAGAGACGGGGACAGAGGCGTATCTGAAGCTTTGGTGATGGCTTGACCGATACACTGAATGCCGTCTGTAGTGCACTCATCCGACAGGAGGTATACAGTTATCCCCTTTTCTTTCAGTGTCGGCAATATCTCCTCAACAGCATCACGAAGCTCTGCAAGAGAAAAACTTCACTGCAAAACTCTACAGTTACTGACACACCTGTATGATTACAATAATTCAGAGATAAATTGTTGATTTCCAATGATTTAAAAAAATCTTATTAAACATTTACCAAAGCAGTTTCTGATATCATGCAAAAGTCTTCCAGATATCGGTTCCCAAAGAAACAGGCTGGTTTTTACATGCGCAGCATGTGCTTGAGTTCTCTAGGCCAGTGCTTCTCAAACTTTTGTCTTGTGTTCCACTTAAACCCGTAAGTGGGGCTCAAGCACAGCTTCATTAATGTGCTCTTTTTTCATATTATCCACCGGTTAATATTTTCAACTCGAAAGTAAGCTATTTCCTGAGAACATGATAGATTTAGAGGTAAATAAATAGAAGAATAACAAAGTGCAGTAAATGGTAAACAATTTGGGCTGCAAACCTCTTTTTGTAGGGATGTAAAGGTATTATCAATATCGTCATGTGACCACGATAATATCGAGGCAGTTATCACTATACGAAACAATTGGTCTTCCAGGCAAAAAGTGTAGTTTTCAAAATGTAAACTTCTTATTCTAACAAAAGGTCTTTAAAGTTGAGTTTTGGGCCATTATGCTTTGGCAGAGTATCTGTCAAACGAACTAAAACCGAAAGCACAATATGGCTTAAAGGGATAGTTCATCCAAAAATGAAAATTTGACGTTTATCTGCTTACCCCCAGGGCATCCGAGATGTAGGTGACTTTGTTTCTTCAGTAGAACACAAATTATAATTTTTAAGCCCAAACGTTGCAGTCTATCAGTCGTATAATGCATGGCAATGGTAACAAAATTTATGAGAGTAAAAAAAACATGCACAGACAAATCCAAATTAAACCCTGCGGCTCGTGACGACACATTGATGTCCTAAGACATGAAACGATCGGTTTGTGCGAGAAACCGAACAGTATTTATATCATTTTTTTACCTCTAATACACCACTATGTCCAACTGTCTTTGGGCGCACGCACAGCTTCCAGTGCGTGAGGTGTGTATGCGCTCTGGCGTAGTTTACGTTGATGGGTGTGTTGATATCCAGCCGAAGAGCAATCAACCATATCTTCAGGCGAGCAGGCTAAGCAGTTGGTATAACGTGGAAAGTCACCACTGCCGAATGAGTTCGCGCGAGAGAATGTAATCTTTTAGTTTTAAGTCAGTTTGAACAATCCGGATAAGCGCAAGTAAGTACCATTTTGATTAGCCGTCGTACCTACAATGACTGTGCACTGTGTAAACAATGAATAAAGTATACGCGCGAAAGATCACTTCCGGCGCTTGCGTAAACTACGCCAGAGTGCGTACACACCTCACACACCGGAAGCCGTGCGCGCCCAAAGTCAGTTGGACATAGTGGTGTATTAGAGGTAAAAAATGATATAAATACTGTTCGGTTTCTGGCACAAACCGATCGTTTCATGTCTTAGGACATCAATGTGTCGTTACGAGCCGCAGGGTTTAATTTGGATTTGTCTGTGCATGTTTTTTTTTTACTCTCATAGATTTTGTTATCATTGCCATGCATTATACGACTGACAGACTGCAACGGTTGGAGTTACAAATTATCAAACGTGTTCTACTTAAGAAACAAAGTCACCTACATCTTGGATGGCCTGGGGGTAAGCAGATAAACATCACATTTAAATTTTTGGGTGAACTACCCCTTTAATTCCTTCAAGTCTGTTTTTGCTGCGTGTTTCAAAGCGAAGCGCGCATTTCGTTCAGGCGATCAGCTCGTGATCCTCTGTTTTCCGCGCCTCAGAACGGCTCCGTTCACACTGAATGAATGAATGAATGAATGAATGAATGAATGCAGTATAACTCGTTTACTGCATGTGCTGTGAGTTTAGCACGCGTTTGGGATCGCAACGGCCACCAGTTAGGCTTTATTTTCGCTTCAGATGATTACAGCATTTCTCTAGATTTGTAGAGATGCGTTTTTGTAAACCTGTTTTCATTGAAGCTGGATTGTAATTTCCCTACTGTAGTGTAAAGCAAAAATAATATACCTATGAAATATTCATATTCATTTATTTTACAGTGCAATTGTTTTACAATATATGGCTATTGCGGCATAGGAATAATAATAATATAAAATTGTTGTCGTTATTATTATTATAATATTCTGATTTGTTTGGCTTCCTAAAACACCAGTGTGAATGTAATTTAGACTGAGACAGTAAGAGGGTTGAGTCCCTTTTAAAGTTCAGGTAGAAGTCTTTTTTCTGACTGAAGTTTTCTTAGTTTAGAAACATGGGTTGAAGCTCCTAATTTTGAACACTCAAGTGCATTCGATAGCATAATTTAACTTTAGAACTTTCATTTTTTTTCCAAGTTTTAATTAGTCTTTTTTTAAATAATCGCAATAAATATCGTACTGTGGACTTCATATCTCAATTAGTGCTGTCAAATGATTAATCGCATCCAAAATAAAAGTTTTTTTATTACATAATATATGTGCGTGTACTTTGTACATTTATTATGTATATACACACATATTCATGTATATATTTAAGAAAAATATGTTACGTTTATATATTAAAATATATCTATATATGATATAAATTATAAGAATATAAATATATACACGTAAATATTTTCAAAATATATGCTGTATGTGTTTGTATTTATATATACATAATAAATGTACAAAGTACACGCACATATATTATGTAATAAAAAAACTTTTATTTTGGATGCGATTAATCGCGATTAATCGTTTGACAGCACTAATTGAGATATTATCGTATCGTGAGATTTTGATCTCGTTACATCCCTATCTTTTTGTGATTATATTGAATTTATTACTAAAGTATTGTTAAACATTATTACATTTAAAAGATTACGATCGTTTGCGACATCAATCAGCATAACGGACGGTTTTTGTGCAGCTAAAAGAACTGAAAGCAGCGCCACCTGCAAATAAGATGAATATGCTAATGGATACCAGGTTCCTTATTACAATTTATTTAGTTGGTTATTTTTGTAAAGGGGAAAACCTGCCTGGAAGTTCCAGTGCTGCCTTCTGATTGGTCAATACAGCATTCCAGTGGCACGAAAATCAACAATTAGGCAAAACACCTAGTCCTAATATCACTGCGCGCTAGGCCTATATCTTGAAGCAAAAAAAGATGCCAGTTAATCAGTTTACTAAATAAAATACTTTATTATTACACTTTTATATTTTAACCCTTAATATTTTTTATAGGCTTATATATTAACATTTTATGTAAGAAATAATATAGCTGAAACCCTGCTAGATGTAACAAATATAGTCAGTAATTAGCACGCAGGACCTAACAACGCCCCTTTTTATTGTGACTATAATTGAAATACAACACAACATCTGCTTTATCGCGGAAGTAATTCTTTTTTGACAGTTCTAATCTTTTTTTAAAAGTCATAATTTCTGTTTTATATGTTTAAGAAAGCCAAGTATCTCTCAAAAGCATGCACGCATTTAGAAAAAGGTTGGGGATGAGTGCAAAAGGCCTCACAACATGACATTCCGATGCTACAGTAGCCCCTTCATGCATGCATAGCATCTCTAGTGACAGTAGCCTACATAGATCTCACCAGCAGCTGCTATGAGCACTTTCGCGCCGCAGCAGGAGAAGCAGTGGAGGAGTGATCTGGATCTGATGTTGAAGTTCAGGAGTGCTGCGGGACAGCCGAGCTTAGCCAGGCCGAGCCAGGTCCACACGAAGCGGGGCTCGTTGCCCAGGAACAGCGCGACCGAGTCCCCTTCTCTGAGCCCAGCCTCCGAGCGCAGCGCATTCGCTACTTTGTTACTCTCCTTATCCACCTCCTCGTAAGAGTAAGTCTTCCCCTCGAAATGAATAAACGCTTTTCGCGGGTGTTTCTTCACAGCCTCCAAAAAGCAGTCCACAATACTATAGAATGGCGTTTTCCTTTTGTATACATTTAATCGGATGCCAAATCCAAGAGCCCTGTACATATACACGCAGTCCTGGAAAAAGTATGTGGAGAAAGTTTTCAGCAGCGCGGGGAGAAGAGCCAAGCCCGCGAGGAGAGTGAGCCACACATACATGTTTACCAGAGATTGGACAACACTAGGGTTTTGAGATTAACTATATGCCATAGCCTGACACCACTTCCAGCCACACATACATGTTTACCAGAGATTGGACAACACTAAGGTTTTGAGATTAACTATATGCCATAGCCTGACACCACTTCCACAGTCTTAAAATGCATGGGCCACATTCTCGAAATGCAAGAGCCTTTTTGGGGCTCCAGAGAGAGATTATATCATTCTGATCCACCCCCGACTAGAGTCTCATCGGGTTGCCAGATCCTTCATTAAATCGGTGCCTTGTTTCCACAAGCGCGGGGAGAAGAGCCAAGCCCGCGAGGAGAGTGAGCCACACATACATGTTTACCAGAGATTGGACAACACTAAGGTTTTGAGATTAACTATATGCCATAGCCTGACACCACTTCCACAGTCTTAAAATGCATGGGCCACATTCTCGAAATGCAAGAGCCCTTGAAAAATAATGTGTTTTTTGAACATTAAAGCATGTCAACATATTCTGTTACACCAAATACACAAAATAATGATCTTTAAAATAGCATCATATGACCCCTTTAATATGAGAGACCAGGTCTCTCAATACATTCAGATAATTTACTGTGATTTGTGGTTAAGTTTTTGGTTATGAACATTTTTAAAGGAAATGATGCTGAATTTGTTGCTGCAGACATTCTTTGTCATTTTTTTTTTTTGTACAAATTTCTTGTTGCTAGAATATTTTCATGTCACATCTGGTAAGCATCTATTAAGAGTAATTCTTCCAAGCAAAGATTTTAGATTTGCTGTCAATCGTTTTGACAAGAAAATTAAAAATTGATTAATTTAGTTTGCCACGGTTGTTAACAAAATTACGAAATTAGTTGCTGCAGACATTCTTCGTAATTTTGCATTTTTTTTGGTACAAATTGCTTGTTGCTAGAATATTTTCATGTCACATCTGGTAAATGTCTGTTAAGAGTTATTTATTCCAAGCAAAGATTTTACATTTGATCATTTTGTTTGCAAAATTAAACTCCGTTCCGGATTTTTCTCTGGAGTAACAAATATAATGCTGCATTCGCATTATTATTGTTTCTATTTTAAGCTCCCCAGTTTACAGTAGTTAAGCACAGAGGAAATCTTTATTGTGTTTTGGTGTTTAATTCCATGCAGTGGCACTAAATAATTGCATATTAAGTAGGTCATTATATTATAGAAACGTATTATGTGGGCTGATATTCAAATTATTTAAAGACTTAAAATAATGATTTAAACAACTTCTGTGGCAAATTCATGGAGAGTTTATGAATGTCAATATTCCATGATCAAATACTCTCTAGCTATTCATATTAAACAAAATAAATACTAATAATTACATTTAAAATGGCACAACATTCATTTTTTAAATGAATTTAATTTTATTTATTTATTCTTTTGGAATTACATTTTCCACTTAAATTACAAATAACAAAAAAAAACAATTATTTAGTGCATGAGTATTTTAAACTCACAACATGGCAACCCTCATTCAATTCAGCCTTTGAGACATGAGCCAGTGGGAGGGTTTCTGTGGGAGCCAGTCATCTTACAGCAAACTCTTACGAAACTATTTGTTCTCTGCAGAAAGCCTCTTTTGAGATTGACACTGAAGAACTTTTGAAACTGTTTTATTATCTTTTTAAACAATGTTGTCATATACTAGTGTGATAAATAAACTCTTTAATCTTTTGAAATATGCACAATAAGCAAAATAATTATTTACACCAATACATTGGTTAAATTTACAGTACAGACAAAATAATAATAATTGCATTTTTGTGTGTTGATTGTGATCGCTGGACAGTTATTGTCCAATTATTTGTAAATAATTTTATAAATTTAGAGTTGGGAGTCTGAACAAATAAAATATTCTATTTTTTTTTTAAATGATAACTTAAAGAACATCCTGCTCTTCACAATCTGAAATGACCATCCAATATCGACTGATATGTGTCACGTGTCAGAGGTCTGTAGCTTTTCACCGTCTCATGTAAAACAAACAGAGGGTCGGTGATTACAGCAGGGTTGAAGCCCTCCTCTACCAGCTTCCCTTTCAGCTGTTTGAAAGTGCAAGTCACAGCCAAACAGTCCTGCAATCAGAAATCCTTTTACTTATTTGAGAGACATGAAAGAGTACATAAATGCATTGACAAAGGGATCATGTATTCAGAAAGAGCATTGTGAAGTTACCTGGATCCTTATAAAACGAGGTCTGGCATAAGAGGGGAGGTAAGTAGTCACGTGACTAAAAATGGCATCGGGCTCAAACTGATGGTCTTTCTTCAGTGTGATGGTAGCCATTCCTGTCCTCCCCTCATACCCTTCAAATTCAATAAAAGATCAAGGGTCACTAATGGGTTTGGAAGAAATATTAACTAGTGGTGTGAATGTCAAGTGAATAGTTCACCCAAAAATGAAAATGTACTCACCCCAAGGCCATTCAAGATGTGGATGAGTTTGTTTCTTCATTGAAACAGATTTTGAGAAATGTAGTATTGCATCACTTGTTCACCAATCAACCAATAAACAGCTTTTCACATCACACATTAACTGATGGACTGGAGTGGTGTGGATTACTTGTAGATTATTGTGATGTTTTTATCAGCTGTTTGGACTCTCGTTCTGACGGCACCCATCCACTGGTGAGAAAATTATGTAATGATACATTTCTTCAAATTTGTTCCCATGAAGAATCAAACTCATCTACATCTTGAATGGTCTGAGGATGAGTAAATTTTCAGCAAATTGACATTTCTGCGTGAACTATTCTAAAAGGAGTGAAGTTGCATTAAACCTTGAACTGTAACGCCGTATACATTTGCTTCCTCGATACTCGTTGCCATAGTCAAGATGTCAGACACTTCATTTGTGGAAACGTTTTCCCCTTTCCACCTGAGATGAAGAAGACCATGCAGTTATTTAAGATTCTTCTATTTGAATGTAATATTAAAGCTGTAACTTCTGCTTTTAAAGGGGTCATATGATGCGATTTCAAGTTTTCCTTTCTCTTTAGAGTGTTACAAGCTGATAGATAAGATCTGATAGATAAGATCCCTGAAGTTGCAAAGACTAAAGTCTCAAAACCAAAGAGATATTCTTTATCAAAGTTAAGACTCTGCCACGCCCCCCTAAAACGGCTCGTTCTAACACGCCCCCACATATCTACCTCACTATGTGGCAATATTAGTATAATGCTGCCCAAATGTGCACGTAAAGAAAGAAGCATGTCAACATATTCTGTTACACCAAATACACAAAATAATGATCTTTTAAAAAGCATCATATGACCCCGTTAAGTAGAACAAGAAATTCCAAAATTCTGAAAGTTCTGGAATCAACCCTTCACTGTGGGTTTTCAAATCTTTATTTTTAAACAGAAGAACATGTTCAGATAGATATACTGTAAAGGCTAACATGCTTACTGTATTTATCCTTACAGTATTCAGTGATTATTAGACTCCTAGAACAAGGCAACCTTTGAAATCGATTCTTGATTCCCAATGCCTTAAAATTAATTTGGGGCCAAGCACCGAAGGTGCGATGGCACCTAATGTATCCGTTAGATTTCTTCTTATTATTCTTCTTCCACTCTGGTAGTCTATGGCTGCCCACTTTTGCTGTAAAGTTATACAATTTGGCACACTGATAGAGGACAGTCTGAAATGTCACCATAGCAAGTTTGGAGTCTCTAACTCAAACTCTCTAGCGCCACCACTTGTCCAAAGTTTTACTCATGTTTATGCTAATAACTTTTGAACCGTAAGACACAGAAGGAAAATAATTTTTCCTCTTATTCCTTAGCTCATGCCGTTTTGAATGAACTCCGAAATGTAAAAATTGTAAAGTTTAGCTTTTTCACTAATTTTAATGGTTTTAAAAACCTACTTTTTCGAACTCGTCATAGACGGTTAGTCAGATTTTCACCAAAATTGGCTCAGATCATCTCCAGTCCATGCTGGCAAAAGGTAATGGAATTCAAGTTGATTCATCAAACCGTTCTCGAAAAAAGTGCGAACAAATTCTACGAAGAGCATGCAAAAATGGATGTGAGAGTATATCTCCGCAACGGTTTGGCGTATCGATCATCTTCAGACCAAGCTGGCGAAAAGTTATGGATTTCGTGTCGATATACAAAGCGATTCTCGTTTAGCGCATCAACGAATTTACTGGAAAGATGATGCTGTATCTCTGCAAAGCTTTGACATATTTACACCAAACTTTGTATGTGCCATTGTCAACTCTCACTGACCAGGCCACATCACTTTGGTAACAGCGCCACCGATTGGTCAAGAGTAGTAAACCATTCATTAACCATTAATTATGAAATTTCCAAAAATGCTAATAATTTTTTATTGCATTAGCCTATTATAATGAAATTGGTCTCAAAACATTCCTTGGGTCATGCCGACAACATGGTTATCAATTATGCCATAGTCGGCCGAACTTCCTGTCCGCCATTTTGATTTATGTTGAAAACCTACCATTCATCTGATTTTCACCAAATTCGTCTTCAGACCATGCTGGCAAATATTCATGGATTTCGTGTCGATAGACAAAAAAATGTGTATATCGCTGCTACAAATTTGAGGCTTGATGCCAAAATGACTCTGAGGCTGTATCTCTGCAAAGCTTTGACATATTGATACCAAACTTTGTGTGTTCCATTGTCACCTCACACAGAACACACCACATATATTTGATTACCTATTGGTCAAAAGTGGTAAGCCAATAAATAATATTACTAGTGGTTGTATTTATGATTTTTCAGCCATTTTGACTAAAATCATCTTAAAATGTTTTTAATTACTCATTGCTTCAGTTGGTCTGATGCTTGCTTCTGTAGTGCTTGGCCCCATAATTGCTGCTTGCAGCTATATATTTTTTTGAATCGATTCCTAGCCCTATAGAACAACAATTTGAATGCCATTTTTCACCTAAAAGTGTCGCCCACCCGATCCTGGAAGTAGATGAAGTTTTCGTGGTCTGTCCTGAACAGATCTCCAGAGTTGAAGTAAACATCTCCCTTCTCAAACACATTGTAGAGTTTCTTCTTCTCCGTCTGTTTGGGATCCCTGGCATATCCACCAAATTGGGCCTTCTGGGTAATCTTTACTACTAGTAGACCAGTTTCACCTGTATTACAGTCAATGACACATTAATGACACGTTCGTCAAAGTAAAAAAAAACAACTTTGCTGTGTATCTTATGACATATTTTATGCATACAAACATGCTTCCTCAGAAGTACTGTTCATTAAAAATGAACATTTTACTTGCCTTTAACTACTTCTATGCAAAATCCTTCTGCGTTTCTTACAGGCTCCTCTTGTTCTTGGTCAAACTTAACCAATGCATATGGATAGATTTTCTGAAATAACAATGTGTTCAGACAATTTCAATAGTCAACAGTTCTCATTTCAGTACTT